CTGAGGACAGGAGGGTGATCCAGGCTGACCTTGACAGGTTCAGGAAATGGACAGATGAGAACCTGATGGTGTTTAACACTGAAAAATGCAAGGTTCTCTACCTTGGGAGGAAAAACCTGCAGCATCCTTACAGGCTTGGCAGTGCTATGCTGGCTAGCACTATGGATGGAAGGGACTTGGGGGTCATGATTGACCACAAGATGAACATGAGCCTTCAATGTGATGCTGTTGCTAGTAAAGCGAGCAAAACGCTGGCTTGCATCCATAGATGCTTCTCAAGCAAATCCCGGGATGTCATTCTCTTGTTGTACTCAGCCTTGGTGAGGCCACAGCTGAAGTACTGCATCCAGTTTTGGGCTCCACAATTCAAAAAGGATGTGGAGAAGCTTGAGAGGGTGCAGAGAAGAGCCACACGCATGATCAGAGGTCAGGAAAACCGACCTTATGACGACAGGCTGAGGGCTATGGGGCTCTTTAGCCTGGAAAAGCACAGGCTCAGGAGCAATCTGATAGCCACCTATAAGTTTATCAGGGGTAAACTGGATCTGGGGGAATGATTGTTCACCAGAGCGCCCTAAGGGATGGCAAGGTTGAACAGTTATAAACTACTGCAAGACCGTTTCAGGCTGGACATAAGAAAGAATCTCTTTACTGTCCGAGCCCCCAAGGTCTGGAATAGCCTGCCATTGGAGGTGGTTCAAGCACCGACATTGAATGCCTTCAAGAGAAATGTGGATGCTTATCTTGCTGGGATCCTATGACTCCAGCTGACTTCCTGCGCTTCAGGCAGGGGGCTGAACTTGATGATCTTCCGAGGTCCCTTCCAGCCCTAATGTCTGTGAAATCTATAAAATCTATAAAGAGATTGCTGTCTAGCCAGGACAGTTTCCTGTTGCACTTCCCATTCTTCTGCTGATTTTACACCCTTAATATGGCCTCCTTAAACTACAGACAGCAATCCTAGACTCTTCCTCTCAGGCTTGGCTTCTAGGAGATCATGCCTACCAGTTCTCTGAGTTTGTTACAGTCTGCTTTTTGAAGTCCAGTATCTTTATTCTGTTGTTCTCTTCCATTTCTTCCCTTAAGATCTTGAACTCTTATCATTATGTGATCACTGTCACCCAAGTTACCTCCATTTTCATATTTTAAACCAATTCTTCTCTTATTGTGAGCAGCTAGTTGAGAAGAGCTTCCCTTTTAATTGGCTGTCCAGTACTTGTACCAGGACATTACCTCCAACATACTCAAAAATTTGCTGGACTGCCTGTGCACTGCTGTTTCCTTCCCAGTAGATATCCCAATAATTAAAGTCCTTCACTGAGCACAATAATCTAACCAGTTATGTAGCCACCTTACGGTACTTTCGTCCAGTCTGTATTTCTTTTGGCTATTAATGAGATGAGAGATGGATCCTGTGATTTGGAAACATCCATTAGTTGTTTAAGCAAGTCTCATATACTTTTTCTTGGTTTGGTGGTGTAAAACAGATGTTCACTATGACATCCCCCCTGCTGTCTCCTTTGACCTTTACCCAAAAGCTTTCAGAAGGCCTGCCTTCCACTTTGTATTGAGCCTCAGAATAGGTGTACTTCTGCTTTATATTTAAGGAAATGGCTCCTTTTTTCCCTTGCCTGTCCTTCCTGAATAAGTTGTACCCATCCATCACAGTATTCCACTCTTGTGAACTATCCCACCTGTACTTAGACCATCAGTTCTTTCTGCTTATTCCCTATGCTTCTCTCATTAATATAAACATAATAGGTAACTAACTGATTGTCCTACTTTCTCCCCAGGACTTCCTATATTACCTCACTTACTAGGTTTTTATCCAGGTCCCCTGGCTTTTTACTTACCTCTGGGGTTTTATCTTCATCCTCTGGTGAACCTGGTTTAAAGTATTCCTGACTAGATTAGCAAGCCTGTATGCAGACACTTTTCCTCCTTTTCATCATGTCTCTATATCTGTCTAAAAACAAGATTTCTACACAGCCTATCATTGATAAAGAATAAGATAAAATCCTTAAAAGGTTGAAAGCTTCAGAGTGATTAAAGTTAATCTAACAATTTCTTAGCTATGAGTTCTAGCCCTTTAATAAAATGATATTATTTGTCTTATAATGTGCTGGAAGATATTTTTGTCTTATAATGTGCTGGAAGATTACTGCTATCAAATAGCTTTATTATTGTTGTTGTTGATGATGATGATGATTATAATCTGCAAGGTTGTCTGGAATCTGATAAATGTATGTAAAATATAAATATAAGACTAGATACTTATTTCAAATTAGGAACAAACCATTGCTGTATTTTAGTAAGCAAGTGTGACCTCACTTAGCCGATTCTGCTGCATCTTGACTGTTGTTAACCGCACTAGCTACATGGCATGAGTATACGAGCACATTCCACAGTCACACCTTTATTCTGCTGTGCAAACATACACCCAGTTAAAAATCTGTTTGGTGCTATCAATTCTGTAAGTCTTGTGAAATGGATGGAAAAACCCCTGCCCTTGTTCTGTGCTAACTTGTACACTATTAGTAAACCAGTGCAATAAATTGGTATCAATTTGCTAAGTGTAGCCTCTCAGGTTTTAAGTGACTTTTCCAACCAATCTAAAAGTATTGTGCATGTCTAAACATGCATAACGGTTGTATCATAGCTATGCTTGTGTGCTTGGCATACGTATGACAGTGATCAAATTTGCAGACAATATCAGAGGGAGAGGTGAACACACAGGAGTAGAGAAGTAAATGACAAAATAATGAGTGGCTATTCGAGAAAAAAGGAATTACAAGAAAAAAGGAGCTTTGCTTAATTGTAAATTCTCCTACCTAGAGAAAGGAAATAAGCAGGGTAGCTATATGATGCGACTGTGATCATGGAACCGCAGCTATTGCATAAAAAATAATTTAATTTCCTCTTCTCTGATTAATGCTGACCTCATATTGCTTGCCAGCACAAACAAGCTTCTTAGAAGTAATTGCAAACTACTAGAGTCGCTGTGGGATCAAAATATGGGGAATCAAAGTGTGGGGTTCTGGGGAGGTTTGTGATTTTAAAGTGGTTTGGATAAATGGCAAGAGTGTTTCAGGAATACTATCAGTTGATATTAATAAACATTGAAAGAGAAGTTCCTGAGGGCCAGAAGCAGATTTTCTGCAGATTTGCTCCATTGCTTCTAGATAGTCTCTCAGGGGAGTGACAGAAGGAAACTGTGCTGGTTCCTAGCATTTTCTTCTCCCCCGTCAATATTTGATTTGTCTAATGTTTGCATAAATTGTATCTGTCCTTTGCTCTTAACAAGATTTTGGGTGCTTTTCCTTTTAACAAGATTTTAAAGAGGATCATGGTGTTGCTTCTGCTGTGGAATAATGGATAATTTTCATGATGAGATTTCATTAAGCAATAATTTATGATGTATCTTTCCATTACACCTTAAGTGCCTTGCTTGACTGAAATAGAAACATGGTACAACCACTATAGAGGAATGAAGAAATCCATGTGAAACTGCATGGTTGTTTTTAACAGACATTCCCTTAACACTAATTTTACTATTTCAAATACTTCCACATTTTTCAGGGTCACTTTTTTTTATTTTTATCTAGACAACCTTTCCTTAATTTTTTTCTTGATTATCTATGTTAATGCTGGGTAAAATATCACTGGCAGGTTACAGTCTGTGACAGATAAGATTGAGTACACTTCTTTTAAAACTGTGTGTAAAAAGCTCTTGGGCAGAGAATGAGGCCTGAATAATACTGCAAAACAAAGTATATGAGGAAGAAACATAATAAGTAGCAGGAGTATAATGAATAAAAAACAAAGCAGGGGATATGAAAGCAGAGGTATAAACTGGGTGCTATTATGCAGAACCTTGGGGGAAAAAAAACAAAGACCTTAATTATGAGAAAGGCAGCAAGTAAATGGATTTCAACAGATACAGAGGTTAAAATACCAGGAAAGGGAAAAGAGTTTTGCAACACCAGGAAATATATATTAGGTTTAGAAAGATGTTGCTTACATAGGGGTCAACTGCCCATGAACATGACTCAGGGTCTGAGATGTAAACAGAGTGTGACATGTATATGATATGACTGGATCAATGGTATGGTTCTGAATGGAAAAAACAAAAAAAGTGCCATTTATCAGAATAGCAATGGCAGCTAAAGATAGATTACTCTGGAACAGGGACTAGAATTACTCGAGAGATAATACTGGAAGATGTTAAATCCAAAGAATTATGTCTCTAGTCAGAAATTGCCAAAAATGAAGAATGCAGACTATAGCAGGTATGCCATGGGTATAAGTGTGCACAGTTACAATTTGTATTGTGTGTACCTTTTTCAACCTTATTTTATAAAGCACGGTTTTCCCCCTCAAAAGACATATACTTAAATTAATTCAATGTTTTCTTGCTGGCTTTCTGTGTAAATTCATAACAATTCAATTGAAAAAAAAAATCAGGCTACTCAAGTCAGTTGCATGCCTCCTATATTGTAAAATCAGGCATCACTATTCCTGGTCTGAAAAAAAAAAAAAGAGTCCATATACATCTCTCTTATTGAAATTGTGGGATCTCCTGTAACAATAAGTTAATCCATTGATTCTGCACAAAAACAACAGTAGTTTCTTCTGGGTATGTCTACATGTGCCCCTACAGTGCTGTCGTTACTGTGCTGTCATTTAATACTTCCTTTTGGAAGTACTAAATGATGGCACAGTGATAGCCTGTACTGCGCCGTGCACACAGCTCGTGGTTAGTTTTAGCTGCTATGTCTCTGTAGTGATGCACTCTATTGAGGGATCGTGTTACTATGGTGGCATAGATGTGGCATCATGGTTTTGCCCATGGATGCTGTATAGCTGTAGTGAGTTGCTATGGGGATATAGCGTCACATGTAAGTGCACCCTCTGTACGTTATATTTACAGCAATTCAGAACCCTGTTTGAAGAGTGCCATGGGTACATTTTCTAAACTAAATATACATTTTTCCTCCTAGGTTCTGACATTGTTCAGTGGTTAACGAAGAATTTATCAATAGAAGACCCAGGTAATTTTTATCCTCTATAAAAATTCTGGATTGTGTGTCTATGATGTATACTGTCTCTTTTTTTCCTCTGTTTCAGTTAGTATGACCTGGCAACATTTTACCCATGGATTTTCAACTGTTCATTTTTACTAGCAGAGCACACAGCAGCCAGTTTGGTGGACCTTCCTTAAAGATCAGACTGTTTCTGAAGTCCAGTTTATTTGGACACCCTCCACTAAAGACAATGATCAGTAAATGCAATAAAGGGTTGCTTTAATTGGGGATGTACAAGTACAAATTCAACTCCACGGGGACATGTTCACCTAATGCCATGTTAAATGGCATTTAGACAGTTGTTAAACAGCTGAGACTTTTTGAGTTTTCTTAAAGCAGAATTTACCAGCAGTTTAAAGAGTATACAATAAATACCATTATTATTCTTGTTCTCTTGGTCTGTACAGGGTTGTATATTAAATATATGGGTCTGATCTTTTAATGGAATCTTAATTAAAAGAAAAGGAAAAAATATGAACAGAAAGATAGGATCCATATGGCCTGGTAAATGGATCAAGTAACCCCTAAGACCTTTGCTTAGGGATATAGGCTAGAAATTGAAAGATCTGGTTTCGGTTTCATACGCTGCTGTGTAACATTAGCCAAAGCTGGCAGCCTCTGTGCTTCAGTTCCTCTTTTGGAAATATAGGAGGCATGTTGTAAGCTGGTCAGGGATTTTCCCATGGAACATTTTTCTAACAGAAAATGTTGATTCACAAAAGATCTAAGTGTAGTGTGTGAAAGTGTCATTGCAATATTATTTTGGGGTGGGAGAAAAGGATGCAATATTCTGAGAAGGCTGAAATGCTCTTTGTCTAAATGTTTCTTTTGTTTTTAACATTTTGGAATGTAATGCTTTAATTTTTTTTTTTTTTTAATTTTCTCATTTTTATTTCCCTTTGAAATGTTGTGGGGATTTTTTTTTTTTTTCTATTTTAGAAGAGGAAATATGTGGAATTTCCTAAGTAAAGGAAAATCCAGTTCTCTTTTATAAGAACATGAGAACTGTCAACAGTAGGTTAGACCATGGGTTCATCTAGCCCAGTATCCCATCTTACATAGTGGCAGAGAGTGGATGTTGATGGGGGAGGGTAAACAGGCAATATCCAGAATATCCAACCCCAGCTTCCAGCATTCAGTTCTAATAAATATATTAAAGAATGTACCATGATAATGGGTACTACAAAAGTCCCCAGTGTAGATGCTTGAAAGCAGCCAACTCAGCATTGTCACAGCAAAGGAGAAATTATTAGTTGCTTCCAAGTCAACATAACTTCACCTCCTTCAGTTACCAATTCATTTTAATCAAAGAAACAGTAGTTGCATGCCTGACTTCTATTCATCATGGTCAACACACCTAATGAAATGAGAACACTTGAGACATGGCTTTGAACTGCTGGCACTCCTATTGCCTTGTTTGTCAGTAACAACATGTTCACCTATCTATTTTTATTACAGTTTGAAGCTGCATTTTTCTTACTATTTGGCTGAGATGGAACTATGGCTTTGAGTTGTCAAACAGCAATGATTTGTTACAGTAGCAGTAACTGATTTTTTTTTGAACTGCAGTATAGGGATAGGTTGTCATTCAGCTTATCTGATGAGAACTGAGAAGCACGGAAAGGAAGAAGTCTTAAACTATGAGAAAATATGGTTCCCTTTATTAATATGTGATTTTAAAAGGCCCCTCAGATACCTTTTACTACAGTTAGCAAGGCATTTGAAGAGACTTAGGTTTTGGTAGTGTCTTATGTCCTACTACTAGGGTAGGGGAAGAAGAAAACTGACCCACAAAGCCAAAGGGTGTTATCTTTATTGCATTTCATTACTGCAAACCAGAGGGCAAACCAATCTGGGACTGGCTAGCTGCTCTTATGTAGGGCTAGAGATTCAAAATGTAACATTTACTAATGTGATACACCATTCTGCACCTAACACTGTTGCAACTGGTTGAAAATTTCCCCAAAGAACCAAGAAATATTGATTTGACTACATTGAAATATATGTTTTACTAAATTTACAGGCAGCTATTAAAACACTTCATTCCATGATGGCTTGTGTTTTATATTAATATAAAAGTCAAAATACTTCCAGAACAAAATAAAGTGCTTCCAGAATATTTTATTTCACAACAATTTCTCAGATACACATTTTTCATTCCAATTCCAGAGAAAACCAAGGTTCAAAATCTGAATTTCCTTTGCAACAGAAACTCTGAATGTTGATGGGCAATAATCATTGTCATAAAAAATATCTATCTTCATAACTCCAAGGTTAAATTAATTTAATTTTCACAGGTTTCTCTAAGTTGCTCAGATTGAACCAATAATGAAGTGAATGGATGTTCACTTTTGAATCCAGAAAGGCAGCCAGATGACAGCAGTTGCTCAGGCCAGAAACCAGGGGGTGCTACAGCGTGCTTCCCAGCCTGCCAGCCACTGCTGAGTGCACCCAAATGTAGCCATGCTGGTCCCATCCCTGATTGGCTGCCCAGCACACAACTCCAACCCCCTACCCCCCGCAGGGTAGGGAACAGTCCCTCCAGCCCAGGGCCCAGCTGGTGCTCTGCATCAGCCCATGTGGGGGAGTCCCTGGTTCTCAGCAGGGGGCTCTCCCACCCCAGGCAGGGTCCCCCAAGCCCTGCTACCCATATAAAGGGGGAATTCCCTCCTCCCATCCTCCATGGAGTCTGACGCTGGCTCAGACTCAGGCTGGAGGGCCTGTTCCCCCCAACACATGTGGAGGTGGGGCTAAGCCAGCACTCAACCGTGCTGAGTTGGGGGAAGGGAGATTTCCCCTTCTGCACTGGCAGCAGGGTTCAGGGAGCCCTGCCCAGGGAAGGGAAACCCCTTTAACAATTTTTAATTGGGGTGAATTGGTAAAAAAAACTAAACAAACCCTTGGGTCACTCCAATCAGTGTGGGGGGG